GGAGCAGCAGGCCCCTCGCACCAGTCTTCTCAGGAATAGCCCGAAGGAGCTGCTGTTGCCCCTTCACGCATACTCTCGCTCCCGGCACCCTTCTTCCTGGCCTCAAGGCCTCCCTGCAAGTGTCTAGTCTTCCCTAAGCTCCCCCTTATTCTAACAGCCACAATTCTGGGCCAAGCCCTAACAGTGCCATTCTCTCTCCCTACCTGTGGGTGGGAAGATGAAAGGAACACAAGGAGGGCAAAGTGTCACCTTGAGCCAGAGTCTGAGCTTCCTGTGGCTGGGGTCACTCAACGGTTTGGCCTGTCCACTGTTCAGAAGGGAGCAGGGGGACACTGTGTGTGGGCGCTCCTTGCGCCCACTTCCCCAGAGCGTCCAGTTAGCATCTGCACATTTGGCTTGATAAATATATTAAATTTATAAAAACTCTGTGGTCTCAGAGCTCGCACTCCTCTTAGGCCTGGTTTAGCTCAACCAGAGAAGAGCTTCCTCCTGCCCCAGAACTGGATGCTGGGAGGGAGAATCTGCACTGGCCTCAGGGGCCCAGAAGGCTTGAGGGCTGAGATGGAGGTCCACCCAGGGGCCTGTTCGGGATTGAGGTCTGTGGCGAGAAATCCCAGGGACTCTGGAATCTGCCATCAAAGCCTCTTAATGTTATTGAGGAAAGAGGGGAAAGGAAGAGCTATTTTCTTTAAAAAAAAAATCTCATACAAAAATAGATCCATTTGCAAAACAATTTCTCAGCCAGGAGGCTCCACCTCCCATTTCCTTGGAGACAGAGGGTGAGGTGTTGGGATGGTCACAATACAGCCCATACTCCAGATGAGATGCACCGAAGCTCTGGGGAGGGCACGAGGAGGGACCGTGGCTCAGTAGCCTGGGCTGGTGCAGAGGGTCCAGGGAGGCAATGGCATAAAGCATGGCAGCAGGCTGGGGCAGGTCCCACAGTGTCTCTATGCCCTGCCTGCCCGCCAGTGAAACAGGTAAAAGTGGTCTAGGTCCTTTTTGTCTTGGGAGGCCTTTCTCAGGAAGGTGGAGTGAGGATGAGATTTACTCCCATTTTCTTAAAAGCAACTCCCAATGCCACACCACTAGCAATAAATAACAGTAGCTGGGAGAAAAGCTGAGCAGAGGTGACGGCAATGAGAGAAGGGATATAGCCCAAAGGTTCACAAGCCCCATGCTGGTCTCAGGGCCAGAGAAACCACAAAAGAAAAGCACAAACCCAGCGAGATTGACCTATGGGAAGCCCCCTGGAAAGTCAGGGGCTGAGAAAGCAGGCGGGCCTCGTCTGAGACAGGCCTCAGAGTAACAGAGGAGACACTTGGGGTTAAGGCAGCAAACACGGAGCCTGCTTTGGTAATGCGACAGCCAGGGCTGGCTGGGTTGGGCTCAGGCCTCCCCACACTGCCCTTTCCTTCTGGCCTCCAGGCAGCTGAAGCTGTGTGTGATGTACAAAGAGCAGCAGGCCAGAGAGAAGAACAGGTCAGGGCAGTGGGAGCAGCCACCCCACAGGAGAATCTCCATGACCCTCCAGGCACGTGCTGAAGGGCAGGACAGTCTGGGGCCCCACGGAGGAGCGCGTGGCCACAGGACCCGGCTTAACTCGCACGGCCAACCAACTCCTTGGTTTCCTCGAGGATTGTGGGGATTCCTTCACTGGTCTTGGGCACCTTGGCAGCAACGGCAGTCATGGCATCGTCCTTGGTCAGCTCCGAGGCTAGCAGAGATGTGACTGCACACCCGGCCTTCCTGTTGGCTGTAAGAGAAGATATAAGGGATCTTGTCCACAGAAGTCTCAGCTTCCAATCCCTTTCGAACTCCGGGACAGACATTCAGCCAGGAGCCATGAAACGTCATGAAACGTCATGAAACGTGGCTGCCCTGTCCGGGTCACAGCAGCCCTTATTTTGAAGGAAGGGTAGAGATCCAAGAAGATGTGGAATATGCTGCTGGAGGGCAAGGGTACAGAGAATATACGAAAGGATTAGTGCAGGCGGGAGAGCAAGCCGTGCTCTCGCTTTCCTGTGTGAAAATAGCACAAAGGTTTGAATACAGCTAGACAGACAGAACAGGGTTCAAGCGTATGTACTTAAAGGGAGGTGAAGTACTCAAAATCGGTTTTCTCATTGTAATGTTATTGGAATTAAATAGGCTCAAGCTTAATAAACAGTATTATTTTTGTTTTCTTGGCAGTTTCCAGGAAGCTCTTTGGCCAAAATCACTTTCAGTCAGCCCTGGGAGAGTGGTCCCTAGCAGAGGAAGGCCTTCAGCAGGCTGCCAGGGAGATTCCTGCAAGCAGCAGCCACACACTGACGTCACTTGCCTATCACACTCTCATGTGCCCCACTGACCCTCCCTCTCCCCAGGAGCCCACCTGCCCAGCTCTCCCCCACCTCCTCAACGGTAGCAGCTGTGACACAAATGCCAAGGGCCCCGCACGGCATGGATGTGTGTCAGGGGGAAGGTAACGGGGCAAGGACGGGTGAGTCGGGGCAGGCAGCGCCGGGGCCGAGGACGGCCAGTAGGGCCCTACTCACTGGGAAGCTCCAGTGGTCTTCCTCAGACCAGAACAACCAATTAATCCGTGACCTTCTGTTCTAATTGCTGCAAGCCAGCCCTAAGGCTCTCTCATTCATTAATGGAATCCAGATTTATAGTCCAGTATCCTCAACAGGAAGGCAGCTCCTTGGGAGCATGCCCATCTCACGTTGTCTGCCTCTTCCCATGCCCCGGGAGCAGCACGAAGAGACCGCCATGTATACAA